CATTCCCTGTGGGAGCTGTTAGCCTTAAATAATAAAACAGATAACATGCAGAGAAGGCTGAAAAGAGCCATTGCAGAGGTTAAGGGAGAAACACTAATTTTGGTAAGGAATTCCAGTGGCGGATGTAAAATTCGCTCAAATAAAAGGGAACACACTTTCTTGTGGCAAGACAGCTCAGCAACCAAGAAAGTTATCAGGCATGAAAAGCTTTATTTTCCAATTAGATCAGTTTAGGGAGTTTGATATATGCGGCATGTTTCTCCACCATGTCTCATTCAACTTTTGGTCTCTGTGCAGTTGAGTAGCTCCAGGTTCAAGCCTGGCTTTCTCCTTTGTCAAAGAATTTACAGGGGCAGAGATGCCAGAAAGAGCCCCCAGCAAGTTTTCTCCTTACAATTTAGTCAAAAAGTTTTCTCATTTTCACAAATGTTTCTGCTCACAAGTCAGTTGGAGACCCAGAAGAGACCAGGACAAGTTTTACAGAGAAGATCCTGCTCCCATATCTCTGCTACAATATTATTCTCTGAGAGCTGTTCTCTAGAAAATATGTTGCTCTCATATCTCCAGCCAACATCTGGCCTGAGAACCCCTGCTACACAGATATGAACACAGTCCCAGTCTTAACACATTGCTGAACTTCCCACTGAGCAGGAGTAAAATCTAAGAAAAGGGAGGGATGTAACACTGCCTTCAATTCTACCGGTGCAGATTTATGACCTTGTTGAAAAGGTGCTCCAAAATCTGCTGCAAGATAATCCTGGTTGGTTCCCTAGAAGTAGCTTTAAAATATAACCACCCCTACATAGGAAAGGTGTGGTCTGTATCCTACACACAAATAACCATGAAAATAGAAAAATACTTGGTAAATGCAAAATATAGGTCCAGGTAACCCCTAAGACTGCCTATCTTCCCTTAAAGTTATGAGCTGCAGGGACCTGAGTGCCAAGTGTATTCATCACTGGCCAAGAGCGTAGAACGGGGTTTAGAACACTGGGACACTTGAGATCTGGTTGTCTTCCTTATACTGCCTCTCATCTGCTTTTCTCTTTACCTTGCCTCTCCACTTTTCTGTACCTGTAAAGTAGCAATACTAATAACACATACTTCTTTTGTAAAGCATTAACATCTGCTAAAGCAATGTTCATTCATATTAATAATAATAATTGATGGTGCTTATCTGAAAGCAAAAATGTACAGGAAGAGAACAGAAAGTATTTAGCTGGAAATATAGCAGTCAGGAGAAGTGTCTGTGTCATGTGTTGCAAATATGGAAAACAGAATACAAAAGGCCCATTTAATTCGCATGAGATTCCTAACTCCTCATGTACCACGTTTGGTGCTGATTTATTTGAATTAAGATGGCAAGAAAACCTCCTCTTGCTGTTTTTCGTTGAATTTTTAGTTTCGTTTTCTTTTGTTTTTAATCAAGTTCTTGCTCAAGCCCTGTGAGTAAGAATTCAGCAACACATTGTAAATCACATTCTGCAAGTTCTGTGACTGCAGACGAGATAGTAAAAGATAATGCTCTGTACTTCACATGTGTCTGGTTTGTCATTCAGGCACCACATGTCAGATTCTCCCTATACACAGCCTAATGTGTGAGCAGAAAAGCTGGTAGAGATTGCAAATAACATAATTTTAAAGTCCTGATAATTTGAATCCTTTAGTTATTGCTGAAACAATTTAAAATCTTACGAGTACAAGTCTAAACTATTTTTTAAATTTTCAAAACAGGAATTGACAAAAAAACCAGAACAACCAACCAAAAAGAAACAGGAGAAATACACAGTCAGCAACCCAACCTTTTCCAAGTAAAAGGTAGGGAAAATTATATTCCAAAACAGAAGTGTCTGACATCTCATCATGATAACAGAAGATTTCTCAAAGCTTCACATCCCAAATAAATATTTCAGTAAAACTTTTTTGACAGTGTAATTTTTTTTTAAGGTGTCAGGAATTGTCATTGATTATAGTTGCACAGAAAAGGTCTAAAGCAGAGTCACTGTTCTGAACCCACACTGTAGTTTTTGGAGAGAAATAGGTGATTTGCAATTAAAAGAGCCATGTCTCTATGTTGTCCCTAAAGAGAGACTCAGAATGTCTGCAGCATGTATATACCATTTACCAAAATGAAGCCCCAAATGGTGTGACAATTGACTCCTATAATAATATAAAGACTAACTACTATTCTGTAGTTTTATATTTGCCAGTATGCAAAATAAACAGCTGCGCTCTCGTGCAGCTAGAAAGGACTGGTTTCCTATTCCTAAAGTTACCTGAGCTCCTTGTATGTCTCCATTTCTACTGTGTACCTAATCACTCGCACAAATGCATATTTACTTACACAGGCCATCGAAGAAGGAAGAGTCATGGTGTTGCTAAGGACGTGTCAGTCAGGACAGTCCCTCAGACAGATGCAAAACGGAACAAACTATGATCATCGTTTTGTTTTAAGAGGTCCATGCCAATGTCTCTCCAAGATATCTTTAGCTGAGTCTTGTACTGATCAGATGTACTGCTATGTTGTCAGCTGCCAGAAAGCTTTGTATGAATAATGTAACATTAATTCTGTACAGGGCTTATTCTTTTTTTCTGGTTTCCTAGTTGTTAAGGATGCAGAAAGCCTAAACAACTTGAAAAAGAACAAATATCTTGTGTCCTGAATGACAATGAATGGTTTTCATAACTAGAGAATAGCTTCATAACTACAGATATGGGTAGGTATTTGATATGATTATGTACACGTTGCATTAAATATGTGTGTATATATTATGCATAAATATATATAAAATAACAGGCATTTGATAGGATCAAGCAAAAGAACAAAAAGCCCTGTATTATTTACTACTGAAGAAGAGCTTACCCGAACAAATTTGCATGAAAACATGCATATATTCGCTTATCCAGAGCATGTAGAAGGTGTGGTGCCACTGTCCTTCATTTCAAACAAAGGAATGACCAGTTATGTATGTAGTGAGAATTTTAAAAACCATTTCTCCTTTCTAGTATATTTTGAGTAGAGTATTAGCACTTGGAGGTATCATTTGAAGGCATGATTTTTACTACTAATGTAGATGTTTCCCTATCTGCAGTTTAAGAAGTAACAATATAAAAGCAATTTTGCAAAATGTCTGTACTAAAAATGAACTGTAACAAAATTGGTGATCTCTTGCTTTTCACTTTAAAAGAATACATCAAGTCACTACCATTTTGTCACGCATCTTAGAAGCAAAATCACAGCAGAGGAAAATATTATTACAGGTTTATTATGTCTCAAAATATAGAAATATATTCCAACAGCATATTTTAAAGAATAATATAACAATAATCTTCAGCTTCTTAGTCTCAAAATGGTACACCATTATTTAAAAATATATTACTTAATGTACCCAAAATTTAAAATCCATCAAATTCCATTCAGAATAAATTGAGTTCAAAAAAAGCATATCCGCCTACCCAATTTATACAGAAACCAGTAGATTTTTGAAGACAACCCAGGAATCTAACTGTTCCAAAATGGTAATTCAGATGGAGACATATTTTGCTGTATACCCTTCTGCATAATCTGCAACTAAATGTAGATATGTAGGTAATGCCAGTATAAAATAGACATGGAAGTGTAAAATGGAACTGTTCTATTAAGGGGAAAGAGTTCCCAAGACTGAAATCAGGACTGCTAATTTATTTTCTTTTTTTTTAAGTGAATGTATGCATAAAAAGGATTTATGTATTAGTCCAAAAGCAAGATAAAATAAATTAGTTTCTGCAAAAACGGCATCTGCACGTTCACATGCATACACACAGTCACACACACACACTGATTTTATCAGTCTGTAATAATCTGAGTTTTCTGAAATATATTTTAAATAACCGGAGAAGTCAGAGTTACATGAATAGACTGTCTAAGGAGAAACTGATATGTCCTATGCATTTTTCAGCAACTCTCTGAGAATGGTTTAAATGAAGCATTTTTAGTGAAGTCAATTCCTGATAAAAGCATATATTATAATTAGTCATGTAATAGAGAGAAAACAGAGTTTCTATTTTCCCATTTTCATAACACTAAAACAAAGAGGTGTCCAAAGACATTAAATGTCCTTAATTCAAAATAAGCATATATGTAGTGGTGGTGGAAATGTAATCTGTAATTGGTTATGCAATTCACAACCACAGGATTTGATTTGAGGCCAAAAATTTAGGGAGATTAAAAAGTTATTATATGGATTTAAGAATTATAACAAAGTTACAATAGTTAATGCAAAATAAAAGGAACAATATCCCATATTGAGTCTCATTATTTAAACTAATCCCCACCCGATAGAAAAGCAGATGGGACAGAAAGTAGGCTGCAAATTACCCAATGCCTTGTTATGAAAGGTGTTTTTCATCTTTGCCTGAAAACAGCCACCACTAGGGACATGACTTTTGATTAAAGAGGTGACAACTGCATACCCAATGCCTTCCCTCACACACTCACAAAACACATCCAGAAGTAGGAGCTAAATAAAGCAAAGCCCTTCCATACTGTGTCTTCTGTATATTTTGTGTATATAGTGTATATACTGTGTATATAATGGGAAGGATTGTGTGGTTTTTGTTTGATTTTACCTTTTGGTGCTATTATAAAAATACTTGCCAAAGCAGTGTAGTAGATAAGAGACTCATATGATTTGAGGTAAGAATGTTGTAGTTCAATTTTTAGTGTTAACTTGGAAAGTCCTAGATAAAGGCAAGAGTCTGTCTACACGGAATTTCCGAAGCCTGGAGCCTTTTGCAAACTCTGCAGCTCACAAGCCAAAAAGTAACATACTCCTCCAGTTACACTCATTTTGTTAAAGAAAATAGTTGTAACAATTATGTGCAATTTTTTCACTTCTATTTTCTATCTACAATTTATTTACTTAAGCACTGTTCAACATTTCACTTTTTCTAATGGAGCAGAACTTCTAACAGAAAAAATATGTTTAGTCGAGCAGTTTTGTTTAGTTTTTTTCCCACAGTTTTCATTGGCACAATATGACCAAATGTATTTTAGTTCCTTTAACAATACAAAACCGTTACAGAAGTTCTGGAGTTTCTAGTTTTAAAAAATTCTGTACAAAGGCTTTACCTTAAAGTATTGGAATGGAATGAAACAGATTTCAACATGGGCTATTGAAAAATTAGTTTGTGAACTTCTACTGCATGGTGAGGCGACCCATAAAATAAATGGTTCTGAAATTTTGCTCATACAAAAGAAACTATATACTTTTAAATAAATAAAAGCTACTATATACATTATACTGTACAATTAAATGAGAGATGACATGAAATGGAATAAATTTAGGCCTGCCTTTTCATCAGCAAGGCTCATATCTTGACTTTATTACAATTTTGAATAAACCCCTCTGCTTTAGATTATTTTTTTATTCTAGTGGCAGCCACATGAACGCACCACCATATTCCTGTATTTTTTTAAAATAACATTGGAACTGTCATCAAAGTAGAGCACGGAGATTGCGTTCAGTTTTGTTGGTGCACAGCATGGCTTTGGTACATGATCAGGGAACATCAAGTGAACCTGAAAGACAGATAAATACATAGCTCATATATCAAACAGAGAGGTACAAGGACAACATCAGTGGAAAACATGTCTTTGCAATTCAGAGAAGGCTGTGGTCACAAATTTTCCTTGGTTAGCAACTTTAAAGCACAGTTTACCTCCAGAACATTGCTCTGATTTCAATTGCACGGGCAGAGTTATACGATAAAAGCAGACGGAGAGATAAATGAGGAGAAGTGGCCAAGACAGAAAGTTGGTTTTCAGATGAAATGTAGAAAAGAGTTGGAGTTAGGCAGCTGCTCAGGAAAACATTTAAACATATCGTGCGTACCATCTTTGGGAAGGACAATGCTTAACATGAAGGCTCAAGCCCTGGGTCTCACCAGGACCCAAGCATGTGCGAAAAAATGCTTTCCTGGGTTGGGATCTCAGCATGGAGGAAAATCTGTTGCAGACAGCAAAGGCTGTGCAGGCAAAGGCTCTGGAACTGTTTTCAGCCTGTGAAATGGTAAGATATGTGCTCTTAGACGGTATGAGTGCATTTTAGTGTCTTATCTGCATATCAGTGGATCCAATTCTACTTCCACTGCAGTAAAAATCAATTCATAAGGTGGGTGCCAGCTGGACAAAATGTCTGGGGAAAGGGCTGAGGAAGAAAAGTCTTTATGTTCTCTAGGCTGAAATATATCAATGAAAGGTTAAAGAGAAGGAAAAGAGTTTTGAACGGCATCCCAGAACGAACAAGATCTAGTGGAAATATCTGAAAATGGGGGAAATACAAGTTCTTTGTACTTTAAAGAAGGTTGGATGTAATATTCTACACATGCTGAAGACTTGGAAACTGGGGAGGCCAGAGAAGAGGGAGCTGTAATAGAGAGGGCAAGAGATTATTAAGGCATGGATGAAGACTTCAGCAGTAATAGGTTTCGTTTGTATGTTAAGTCTTTGTAAATCTGTTAGAGCCATCTGTCTTGCAGTGATATAAGCTCAGAACCTTTGCCAGACAACAGAGAACAGTCTATCAGGAAACAATTTTTACATAACTGTTACCATGAGAAGGTCTTTTGAAATGAGCAATAATAAATCCTGAAGTAGCAGTTTAGTAAAGGTTTAGACACACACTTAAAAATGGTTTAACAAATGAGCAGCAAAGCACTGGAGAAAAGAATGATTGTGCCTCATCCAGGCAGATGTTTGCCCTGTCATAAATCCCAGTTCCACCAACCTCTGCCACCCCAGCTGGAAGCTCTGTGGCCCCGCTAACCATGGCAGCAATGGTCACAGGCTTTTCAAGTGTTTGTTAGCTACAAATTCAGCACGAGCCAACCTGCTGATCTACTGCCTCTCGTGACCAGGAAGTCAGTGCATCTCCTGAGCCTGGTCTGAGGGTGATGAAGAAAGCTTATAGAACACATTAAATGCAGCCTATCTTGTATTTACATGGATCTGTATCATCTGTTTGCCTAAGTTCAGCTAAGAAAAAAGGAGAGAGAGAGGTACTGACCTAGCATTTCTCCCATTCTTATTACAATAGAAAATAAAAAAAGAGTCAGTGAAGTTTGGAGGGGTACCAAGGAACAATCATTTCCCAACCCAAAAAATGGGCCTTTTCAGAATGGTGTAATCAGTATGGCCGGGAGATGAATACATTTAGATTAGGGTGGGGCGTATGAATAATTGTTTCCCAAACCATCCCCATGTGCACACCTTGTGTAAATCTGAATTTTGTATAATTTAAACCAAAAAGTGTTCAACTACTGTTATCTAATTTATGTGCAGCTAAAATTTAGCCTCATGATTTTTTGGCTGCACAAGTGAATGCATGTACTGTACATGCAGAGGGAGACACAATTCCAAAAAGGCCATAATAATGGGAAGAATTTGACTATCCAATTTAAAAAATAGGACAAACTACACACATTTCTTAACAACTGGAAATCAATCATTTTTGGACACAAAAGACACATAAGAGAAACTAACATTGGGCCAATTCTTATTTAACAGTCCATAATTGCAGGAGGGAACTCTAACCTGGGGATCTCACTGATATTGGCAACTTTTCTGGACAATGTTTACATAATGCTAAACTATTGCTTTACTGACCTATTTCTTTTTAGCTCTGAACTGTTCTTCATTGTCTTCATTGTCAAGGAATACACAGTGCTGTATTCCTTGCCAACTGGCATTTTCTGTTTCCTTTCACCTGAACCCTTTAACACACTTCTATTTATTTCCAGCCTAACATTTTCCCTTCTTTTTATAAATCTTGCTGACTCGAATTCTGGTATAGAGGAATAATATTGCATTGGTGGCTGGACTTGGAAAGGGTGAGTAAACAAAAAGCTGAATGGAAAGGAAAAGGTCTCAGCATATGCTGAGTTTTTAAAAATGTCCCTCTCATAGAATCATAGAATCAACCAGGTTGGAAAAGACCTCTGAGATCATCAAGTCCAACTCTTGATCCAACACCGCTGTGGTTACTAGACCATGACACTAAATGCCACATCCAGTCTCATCTTAAAAACCTCCAGGACCGGTGAATCCACCCCTTCCCCAGGAAGCCCATTCCAATGTCTGATTACTCTGTCTGTAAAAAATTTCTTCCTAATATTCAACCTTCTAGAAATACTTGATGATTTTCACAAGCAGAATTTGGTTTCTATCAGAAAGACATCAAACTTCATTTTTGTTTATTTGCTTTTTTGGTTTTGGGATGTTTTTTTGTGTAGGGATTAAATTTGAGGGAGGTGTTTGGGGTGGTGCCCCAGGATGGTAGTAACTTCACTCCTTTCTGAAGGAGGAAGGGTTTTTAAGGACCATATTTTTTATGTGAAAATCAAAGAAAAAGATCGTCTTCCATGGACAGATTTGCCAGCATAATCTGATGGTCAGGATACTTCGCTATTATCAGTTTATATCAGAGGGAGCTTTAAACCCATGTTTCTCTAATTGCAGTTGAGTGTCTTGACCTTTCCAGAAAAAAATTAGAGATGGCAACCCTTTCCTGTTCTGATTTTGTACTGCCACTCCCTCCTTGTTTATTATCCCTCATTCCTCTGCTTCTTAATCATTCTGTAATACCAATGCTAATACCAGTTCTTCAGCCAGCATAGGTGAAAAATCAATTTCTGACCAAACCAACCAGACTTCAGCCTCACAGCATTACATTTAGGCGTAGTCTAAAGGTCATGATTTCTGTAGCTGAATGCTGCCAGGGTAGAGGAGGCCTAGCCAGCTGCCTCAACTAAGATCATCTTTTTGGCTGCTTTAGTTGAGGCACAGGAGAAAACATAAGAAAAAGCAGAGGCAGAAAGCTGGCTGTGAATCCCCTTCTACATGTACCAGGCTGAGTAAGACATCCAAACACACTTATTTTTAAATTGCATTTGTAAGCCAGGCATGACTGAACACAATTTCTTACATGCAAGTGCATCTGTTTGCAAAGCTTCACATTAAATTACAGTGTAAGTATCTCTGCCAGCAGCTGACAACAGAGGTCTACAGAGTGGCCAAGTGTCATCATTTCTGGAAGGTATAGCATGTAGATGTTAACACTGAGCTTCAATAAGCTGCAAAAACTCTTGGAAGTCAGACCAGGGGGCCCCCTTCATTCCTAACGATTCTCCGGTAATATGACACAGTACTCTCATGTGTCATTGCATTTGAAATGGAGGGGGAACCTACCACACAGGCCACTCTGAGCAGCTCATCCTCTCCCCAACGTAATCATCAATGCCTGTTTTCGAAATGGGTTATCATTTACCCAGAAACAATCAAAATTCAATAGTAGTAAACAGAAGAGTCAGACCCTGAGCGAAGACACTAACAACTGCATAATAGGCAACTACAACATAGGCAGAGGCATACCAGAGTCTGAACAATGGCGTGGTTTGTTGCGTTCATGTGGGCATTGAGGGGGAAAGAACACTCTCCATCACAGTAGAATGCAGCATAGCCCTCTGGTGCAATAATCCAATCCTAAAACAAGAGCAAATAGATCCACTCAGTACTTTTTTTCTCACTCAGAGAATTTAGAATTATATCAAACTAAGACTTGTTCAATGACAAAAGGAACCTCAGAAGGTGGCATGTGAAACAACCTTTTTTTTTTTAAAGTAATTGCTTTGTTCATGCAGAACAGAGATGAAAATTAAATTAAACTTAAAAATCTGTACAGAATACCAGCTAATGAGGCCATAAGGGGAATTAAAGATCAAAATATGTTTGTAGAATACTTTTCCTCCCAAACCAAAAATCTTGAGCATTTCTTGGTGCAACAAAAGTAATTAAAATGCATTCTCTTCCTTCAGCATACTCAATACCATTAACTGTATTATTGCATGAAACAGAGGGTTGCTAGTAATTACGCATTGGCATGTCATTGAATCATGCATTTTGAATATTTCTAGCAACACAGCATGGGCAAAAGACCACAAGAGGGAAAATATTTTAAAATGTTAATGACAGCTGTGTGTTTAGTTTGCTGAATTACTCCTTTGCCAGGTAATGGAAGTGCTGCAGGAAGGACGGAGAGGATCAGGTAGCTACTTCCTGGGGTTTGTATCTTTTTTTTCTTTGCATGTCATTTCACCTTGGGTTTCACTGATCAAATATTGTACAGTGTAGCTTTGGCTTTCCAGCTGAAACCTTTAACTCTTAAGGTACTTTTGGGGATAAAAATATATTTTCTTTTCTCTGTAACCACCTTGGCCGCTATGGCAACTCATCTGAGAACCTTGCACATCTTGGAGCATATCAGAATTTACTGTTTAGAAAAATTAAAAAGCTGTTGATATCTTTAAAAAAATCTGTGATCTACAGAGACACAATGGCTTGCTTGTTCAGTAGCCTGAGTTCAATACCACAAGCCTGCTCTGTGGCCCTGGATAGGGTGATTATGCTTTGAAGACTTGGGGAAACAGCTTCTGCCTGCTTCTTCAGGCTGCTGTGAGGATAAATATACTACAAAATATCAGACAGGATAATGAGGCCATACGAGAATCTGAGCTAGATACATAAAGGATGAGCTGCCACCAAAGAGATAGCATACTTTTTCTCCTCATAGACTCGTTCTGCTCCTGGAGAGTTGTTTTAAAATAATTCAGAGAAATGTGAAATGCAAAGACAGCCATCTCTGAATTCTTACCTACATATGCAATACTTCTAGGTTATAGGTTGCTGATGGCCTTCTTGTTCTTTCTTTATAGAGAGTTCCTTGCTTTCTGGAAAAATACCCTAGATTGATGTCTATTTTCTTTTCTTGTAATGCCCGTCCTCTGACTTCATGAGCTTTTACTACAGGGTTTTTTTTTTGGTTACTGTATGGCAGGATTCCCCAGTTTTCCCCAGAAATTATATAAAATTAGCTATGGTGTTATGAAGACCACTGAGCAGTGATCCAGGATTTACTTCCCTAAGGATCCTACCCCAGTGAAATCTCTCTGACCTGCAGTAGACAGCACTAAACCAGGTTGAATTCAGGTGCAAATTAAAAAAGTTGCATCACTTGGTGTGGATATTTTGGTTTCATTTACTGCAGATTCATTCATATCTTGAGTAATACTTCAAATTTATCTTTATGTGAATGAATCCAGATCATATAGCCACAAACGTATGCAATATCTTTGAGAGAACAGCTAAAAAAGGTAAAGAGATAGTGATAGCAATACTGGTAGGGATTTGTTACGAGATGCATTTAAAGAATTTGTCTCTCATCAGTGATATACCAATTACCAGGAAGAAAACAGAGTGTAAATAATGGGGGACTGTAAAATAGATAGTCCTAATTTGAACTGATAGGAAAAAGCATTTATAATCATACCTGCCATCCTAAGTCTCGGAAGCTCACATAAAGTTCATGTTTCTTACATGCTTGCTTTTGCTCGCTTGTGTTATAATCTACAGGAAGAAAATAACATTAATAGATTTTTTAGAAGCATTGCCAGAACTGACAAGATTTAGCTATTTTTGAGATGCTGACCAAACTGTACAAAGGAAATAAAAACCATTCTGTCGTTTATATTCCTAGGGTTGATTGTAAAGGTGATGTTTACTTGGACATGCAGAATGAACACAGGCAGACTGATACAATTTGTGTACACAGGCAAAATAAGGCACACAGCATTAGGGGAAACAGGTTTACATGATGTCTGTTTGCTGGCTAGCTGGTTAAGACCTCTGATAATATGCACCCAGGTAATCAAAGAGGATAAGGAAGAGCCTGATCCAAGATATGGGGAAGTCATCTGTATGTTGGCACAGTTATAATTACCAGGTAAAGAAAGTAGCCCAATTCAAAAGATAAATTAACAATGATAAAAATTGTCTTGAAACAACAGAATTTCCCGAAATTTGTAATTTAAACACATATTCGCACATTTCATATGCCTTCATTTTTTACCATATTTTCTGGAAATATTCACTACTTGATTATCTTTAGTTGGTAATACTAATGTAAACAAGTAGATTAACAGGTGCTTTTTAGAGGACTGAAAGTTTCTGCACTGTCAGAGATGTGTCAGGATAGAACACAGAGAACGTTCCCTACATGCTTCTCCATGACAATTGTAATCCTGGAGAAATTCTAGTACTTGTTCCCTACTGCTCTAAGTAACAGGAAAGGAAGGGAACAGGGTCATGCCTTCATCACATTATCACCACAGAGCTGGTTTAGAGAGCTATTCAAGTGATGCCATAAGTGAGGTATGCAATAGAGCAGGAAGTACATGCTGTCTGCTGCGTTTCCAATTCAAGAATGCTTAAAGTGAATTTTTTGGACCAAAATAACCATTCTGGAAAGAAAAAAAAGTTCACCAAAAAAATTCAAAACAACAAGAAAAAGCAAACAAACAAAACCCCATAAGACCCAAACAAACTAGGAAGACATGGAAAAAGAAACAAAGTCTTTAGTTCCAGGAAAAGACTTTTTTTAGGAACATTTTTTTTAACATTATAAGCCTGGAGGCTGGAATGGGAAGGTCTCTGAAATTATCCTGAAAAATTTCAGGATAATTAAGAGAGAGAGGCCTTTTCTCACATAAAATGAAAGGAAGGGAGTTCTACAGACTATGAGATAACCTATGCAGTTCTTCACTATCCTTACAGAAAACTCTTCCAAATATACAACCTAAAGGAACTTTTCTGCAAATTTGACAACTCCTTCTCATCAGCTGTCCTGATCTCTTCTTTCATTGCTTCTCTGGGTTCTCTTCAGCTTCTCTGTGTCTTTCCAAAGATGTGATGGCCACAACTGAACACAGTGCCAAATTAAGTAAAGTAATTATTTCATATTATTTCCAGATTGTTGTCTAGTAGTATAACCCAGAATAGGAATTTTGCAGCAAAACCACACTGTCAAATGGTGAGCTTCAGAATCTTTTTTTATATATTCCTGCCTAATCACCTTAATAGTCTGTTGTAGTTGTACAAATCAATGAATAAAAAGCAGATTTTGGGGGTGAGGATGTTGATGACACCTGCATCCTCTGTACCTACTGTACCTACATAGTACAATACAGTCAAGATTCTGGGGGATGACATCAACAAGAGCATTGCAACCCATTGCAAGTCAGGCAAGTATGGCACAAAGCCACTGTGGCTGACTAGAAAACTCTTGACTGAACTCAATTTTAAACAAAGCAACAGTAATGTGAAATTGGGATGAACTGCATAGAAATAATATAAACACATTGCCTGGGCATGGAGGGACAGATATTAGGAAAGCTAAAGCTTAGCTGGAGTTGAAACTTGTGAAGTCATCAAGAAGCACCTCTATAGGCACATTCATAGCAAAAAGAAAACAAGAAAAATACAGATTTGTGTTCAGTAGAGTGAAGGACCTAGTGATAAGGACTCAAAAAGGTTAAGGTACTCAATGAATTCGTCAAGTTAAGTTAAGCTTTCTAATCTATAATACCTCAAACTCTCATCCTTTTTTTAAGATGAACACTGCATTCTTTCCTATGGTATTTTCCTAGCCCTTCAATGACAGTCATTAAAGGATCTCCACAGATTGCTGCCATCTCAGATAATCTCAGCTGTCCCAGATCATGCTGAGTCAAAATATACACCCACATCCCATGGGAGTTCTGTGTCTTTCTGGAGTAGCAATTAGAAGGAACACAGGATGCCCTAAGAAATCACAAGTTTTCAAAAATCTGTATGTCTTTAATATAACCAAAACCCCTAAATCATACTTTGTTCTGAGTTGTCTGTAATAATCTAGCATGTTCTGCACACAGTAAGAAGTAAGGTGAAGGTAATCAAAAGTAAAGGAACTTTAGAAAAACAGAACTGTGTTTCACTGATAATTCTTTGCAAGGATCTATACACTCATTTTAACTAATATCAGTGCTCATAGGAAGTAAATATTGAGCTTTTCTCTCTCAGTTATTAGTGGGAATTTAAAATTCATACATATAGAATACAAGTCACTTTGCAAAAAAAACCGTGACTAAAAAACATGGAAAAGATATGCATGTGAGAAAGTCAGAAAGGTCATAATCTGGTTTTAGATAGCACCCAAGCAGGCAAACAAATGAAAGCTGAAGATTTTGCTTTTGCAATCTTTCTCTGTTACAACATTTTTGTATTTGAGAACATGTACAGATGTTTTAGTGCCAGGATGTAGCATAGGTCCTTACACTTACAGGAGAAAGTCTGAATAATAAATATGTAAATCATTGCACAGATGTCACCATTGTCTTGATACTCTGAATCATTTAAATGTAGGTTAACTAGCAGTGGATGAGTAGTCACACCAGAACGCTTGATAAAATGGTCTGCGTATACAGACTGCAAGCCATCTAATGAAGTCACCTATGAAGAAAGGGACACTTCCTTGAATTCTATCTTTCACATAAGACAAATTTTGTGTGTAATGTAACATTTCGTGTAAGTATCAAATGTGACATTTATAATAGGATCTGATGCCAAGGATTCAATTTCACATACTGTAGCTTCAAGGCCCATATGCTCATTCTGTGAAGAATCAAAACTGTAGTCTATTGTGACCTAGAAAACATTGTTCCTCAGCTATTCAGGAACTGCAGTTGGAATCCAAGCCCCTGCATAGTAGGAAGAGCTGTGGAAGAAGGGCAAGAAAATATATATATAAGAAGTTTCAAGAGGACTTTTGTTTTTTTTTTTTTTTACAGGGGAAATAGAGGCGTGTAAACATGCCTATATATATTATTCCAAAGTACTACATTTTTAATTAATTAGTGTGACACAAATCAATAAAATACAGGAAATGTAGACTTAAATATTGTTTTCTGGTTTTATCTCACTGCATTATGAACAAAAATTATGTAGCTTTGTTTTGCATTTTCCTGGTGTAAGTCAATATTCAGTATTTAAATCTGGATATTCTCTAGTGCCCAATTACACTGTAACTCTTTTTACAAAAGGTAAAAAAATTAAAATTAAGCCTACTTTGGTTTTAAGGAAGAGTTATGTCATGTCCTTTGGGAACGAGTTGTCTAGTTTTGGTTTGGGTTTTTAATAATTTTTTTTTCTACAGTTTGACAAAAATAAAACTAGGCAAATAATAAACAGTTCAATCCTCTGTGCACAGCAGGCAGTTGGAGTCTGAATGCTAAGATTAATTCTGTCTGTCTTTATACTGTATTGAGGTCATCTTCTCTTGAAGTTCTTAGCAACACAGGGATGCTGATTTTATGACTCTGCATCTTCATGAATAATTCAAAAATTTTCTTGTCCATTGGAAGGGAAGAGCTGAGTTGCCCAGTGGAGCTTTTTTTTTTGATGTGCTCAGAATACAGTAAAGCTAATCGCTGAGGTCCAAGAACTTAAAAAAGAAGAAGGCAAAATACAAAAGGCAGGAGGCAAAAGGAAGATGACAGAAGGCAAGGGCAAAAGAGGAAAAAAAAAAGAGGAGAAAAAAGGGGGAAACTCTCAAGAAACAGAAAATTAAGAAGAAAAAAAACAAGAAGAAAATGAAGACATGACTTCGTAGTGAAGTTGAGATTGATGCATAGAGAGAGGTATAACCAAAGTCTGTGACATGCAAATGATAACACACCTATCTGGGTCTGACTACATAACCTCCGGCTTTGTAGGTGAGCATTTTTCAATGTCAACATCTGTCTTACATGCTGTAGGTACATGATTATGGAACAAGCTTAGAAAAAAATTACCTCCATCACACAGTGACCTTTTCCCATCATTGTGTCTTTTATGTCAAGTGTCTTGCATCAGGGAGTGAGTAAGAATTGAATATAGTCTATTGAGTCTCCCATAAAGATGATGGCCAGAATTCTTTGGTCTTTTTCCCAAAAACTTTTGCATTTAAATATGAAGAGATGAAGACATACTTTTGAAGTGCCGCTCATTACTGGAAGCTGTAGAGAACTTGGAGAATTAGCCTTCTCCCACAAACCTGAAGGGATGCAGCGTATCCCCCATTTCCTGGGGCTTGTGAAGAGGAGGTGAAGGGCATAGCTTTTCCCTAATAGCAGGCTCTCCACATGGAGTCTGCAAAGACTCAATGATTGGAGTAATAAGAACATGTTCTCTTCTCTATGTCTTTTTTGCACACTGGAGCATCTGGATAGAATCTGTACATTGCCTTTGTAGCCTTCAGCAGGCTTATCCACTTATTTAATGAGTACTGTTGCAATAGCTGCTAAAAGGAAAAGTGTTGTGAATCACTTGTAGTGTGAAAAGTCCCATCAGTGATCATTAGCAGCACTCAAATAAAAGAAGTTTGTTGATTTGTGATATAGGGATTGTTGAGGCAAACTTCAAGGCAGGAGCATGGAAGCTGATTTGCCATGGTGCAGGAGCTACACCTCCAAGAAGTTTTGCTGCAGAGAATGTTGTCATTTGAGACTGTGGTCACTTACCTACCTTCAGCTTTGCCATCTATTCCAGCCTGTCCATATCTTGCTGCCTCCATCTCCAGTCAGAGGTCAATGTCCCTGATTTTGATGCGACTCCATATGCAATTGCTTCTTAACCTGATTTTGTTTTAACAGTATGGTATTCTTGAATTACAATCTCTTTTGAAAGAGATCTGTCATGGATCAACGTATATAGTGATGTACCTCTATGCTTATGTAGAGCTTAAAGATGTTAGGAGAAAATTTTTTTCATTATGCACATTTTCCTAGAGACGTTCTGATTTTTTTGTTTTACAGCAGCTCTGGAGCACGACTGGATACACAGACAAGGCTGACAAATATTTTGAGACTTTCAGACAGCTCTTCCTGAGGTAATTCTCATGCCAATGCAACTTGCCAGCCTGTGTTAAGGCTGAGTTTTTCCCAGGGTTAACCATCAAGTAGCTTGTGTTCTGATTTCCTGCCATAATCAAGAAGGTTTAAGAAATCCGTTCAATTCTCATTTCCTCATGCACTAGAAACATAGGATTCAATCTGAAAGTGTGATATTTATGTTTAGGTATCATGTTTGTACCAGGTACTTAGATGATTTACCCGTCACTCAAAATAATGTGATTCTCCAAATTAGTAGACATTTTCCAGGAAATATGAAAAATTATTTAAATAATTTCTTTGACTTCTTTAGCAACTCAATAGCAATTTCTGGTTGTTGTGGCAAAATCCATCCTTCTGCAAAAGATCAGGGAAAGGCTTTTGTATTACATTAGAGGAGTCTCTAACCTGCCTCTGTCAAGGTTCTGAGATGGATATAAGTAATGCATATTGCTCATAACACTTCTCCTCAAATAAGTGAATTCCACTCTCAGGCTAAATTCCTTCCACTAAATAATGATTTGCTTACATGTAGACATCCATGGGGTTTAGGAATAGCATCTATATTGAGGTTTTGATATGCTGTTACTAGATCTGCCATGCTTCTGGAAAGATACTTTTTCACACCCTGTTTCCAAAAAGTAGAAATGTTTGTTCAAAAGTGAGAATATTTAGAACACGGCTTTTTGCCTCCAGCTAGAAGGAGCATTTCAGGAAAGAACTGGAGCAAAACTTATTTCAGGCTCTAATGGGACTAAGACATTTTCATATGCATTATTGTCGGTACCTCTCAGGTAGGCAAGGGACCAAATTGACTCAGTTCAGGAATATACTGTGTATTTACATCAGTACATGTCAGCTGGTCTAAACTCATAAACAGTTTACGTTTTCTCAGATTGGTTAAGCTTCCTCATTTCCAGTATTCAGATTTTTGTGTTACTTCTTATCTTCTTCAGCTGAGAGACAGTTTAACAAAAAGTCTAAACATTGTCCCTTGCTAGGCTTCCTTGACAAGTAGTTGGGGTGCAAACCTTCTCTTTACTGTCTACTTTTTTGTTATGAATAGCAAAGAAATCATCCAATTGCCAAATGTGTAGGACTTGTTTCAAGCTCAGATAGAGCCTTTCTTAAACTACTTGGTCATTTCACCCTCATGGAGCCCATGGTACATGTAACTGACCTGACTTACAGAAGGTAGATCATGCTCAGGGCCAACATAACAAAAGAGGACTGGGAGCACAGTTTCTGACAGTTCAGCCAGTGAGCAGTATCTTGTTGAGCTGCTGTGACTCCATTGCATTTGAGCAAGTGCCCACAACTCCTATAAACAGACTAGCAAAGCATAGCTTCATCTTACCCCCAACACTTGGCATCCTAGAAGACTCCTGTTGACTACTGGATTTGTTGCGGTTCTGATTTTTCCTTTTATTGTTGGCTGCTCGGACAGAACGGAAAAGCACTTCACTTGCCTTGAAGAATGCAACCATGAATGGTTGCTTTGACTGAGGCCCATGTCTTCCAATCAGGCCAGCAGATTTAACATTGATACTTCGACCTATAAAGTAACAGAAATTGCAAGTTAAAAGGTGAGCTTCTGCCCCTCCTGAAGCCACAGTGGGAGTTAAACTGCTGACTGAAACATACCAAGGAATTCTCCATAATCCTGAATTTACGTGATTAAGAATCCTAACTGCATTTTGTTAAACAGAACTTAGAAGACAAAAAAATTCAACCATTTGCAGAAGTTTCAACAGCTTTACAGATAGTTTGTTATTGCATAAAATTGCAGTCTCTGTGTGCTATATATCTTACTCATTACACAGACATTTTAATTCAGTCTCGTGCACACATCTATAGAACTCAAAAATAAATGAGCCCCATTAAGGTCTATTTGCTACAGAAAGGATAATGTAATGTGGTCTTCTAATCTTTGCATCATTTCAGTGTGACATGTGGAACCTTATATCCCCAAAGCAAATCAGTAGCAAATAGAAGTGTAGATAATAAATATGCTTCTGCTTTAAAAATAAGTATTGTACAGTGTTACTCAAACTGATGTTCATTCACCAGTAAAGGTAGGAAGCCATTCAGTCTTTCAAGAGAAGAGAGTTTGAAATATGTGCATTATTGACTCTGGTTCTGTTCCCAGGGGATTTGCATATTTCTTTAAAATATTTGTTCAGTCAGGACTGTGTGGTAATCTCACTATATTATGTGGTCTAAACCTCACCGAAAGAAAGGAAAGCAAAACAAGTCAATGAAACTGCATCAGTGACATTTTAGCAAATAAACCCTTGCTCTTAACAGAATTTATTTTGGCAGTATAAACACTTTTGTGCATACGTGTATTATGCAGAGCCCTTCAACCGTCAGAAAATGAGACAGTGTCATGTGAAGTTGTGCAGCTGTGCTGGGTGGGGGACACAGAGGTCCTTTAAATGGGGAGGTGTGGGCACAGGCACCGAGTGCGCTGTGCGGCATCAGGGCGCCTGAGGATTCCTCTAAACTGACTGGAAAATTTGCTATGCGGGCGACGGAGGAGCATCTGCCCGACAAACATATAATGCTGTTAACTCAATCATCCTAAAAAAGAACTTGCAAACTAGCATAGGAGTAAACCTTATAGAAATAAGCATATAGGTTTCCTTTTCAAACACAAACTTACAGTGGCTGCACGCCAGAGTCTATATTTCTTAAAAAAACTCTATCACTGGCTTAAATGAAAGAGGCAGTTTGATTTGTGGTTAAAGTAGTTTCCATTCTACTTCCACTGTAACAAATGTATTAATTCAGCTCAGACTTCCTCCTTCTGGCAGCCCTTTTGCAGTAAAAAGAGAAATTAGAAGTTCCAGCCAAATACCATACCTTGAACTGACCCACTTCAATACATAAACACTTTTACAACATGTTTATTCAGGTGTAGCACTTTAAATTGGTTTAAGATGTTTCCAGTGACAGAGAGCCCAGCAAAGGCAAGAGAAGAACTGAGAAAGTTAGCAGTTATGGAGCAGAGTAATTGGCAACATATTCTGAACAATTTTGATAATTACTTTTTTGACTGCAAGGGAAAAATATATTTGTTGAAGCTTCTGATTTCATTTTAAATGGATTTTTAGTCCTGTGTTTCTTTAATTCATCTTTTGATGTGTTTGAGTTACTATTAAATAATTCAGTAACATTAATTTCTATATGTTTCAATCTTCTATTGCAAGTCAGATATGAAAAACTGTACAGACTATTCTCTATTCATTGCAACATGGACAAGCTAGCCTCTTACCACAAAGTTCCAGGTTTCCCCTCTTTTCTAGAGGGAATATTTTTACTATTTTTCTTTATTTTTTGTTCCAATGACTCTCAGAATTTTAATTTTATCTGTAAAACATTCATGCCTTGCTGGTGGACATTTTAAAAATACTATTAGATTTATATATTGAGGACTGTAAAGATGTGTGAAGCTTTTCTGAATTTAAATCTAGGTTCTCTGAATTTACAATGGTGGATATTGTGTGCGAAGCAAAATATTCTTCAAACCAATGTGAACTCCCTTTAAAATAACTTTTAATATTATTAAGTTTCTTCTGGGTTTCCTTTGGACTTCAGCAATGAGATGACTATTAAGATTCCACAAGTTAAGGCTTACTTAGTTATCCAGGATATAGAGATATACCATAAAAAATTAATCCTGTAACCCACAGCCTTTTTACACAGAGAAAGAACTTCTGTGACTTTATTCCTTTATTTGCTTGATCTTCTAAGCAGCCAGCATGAGTTTTTAGAACTCATTTGTTTAATTCATGGATGGTATATGCACTGGATCTGCTTCTAGTGCAGTCAACAGGAAAACTTTTATTGACTTCTGTGGGTTCGTCATTAAACTTTTCTCTCTCAAATTTATCATACACCTTAGCTTAACTGCAACTTTCAGAAGACGAAGCAATCAAAATACACACTGACCTTGAGACACGATATTTCTTCCAAGGAGGATCTCTGAACTGTTTGGTTTGGAAATTCAAACCACATATGTTGTCTCCATTTTAGGTTGGTTCTTTGCAAAAGAAAGTTTGCATTTACAGACCTTCTATTATCCTTTATTAAAAAAATTAAAATGGTGTAGATGTGGGAGATTTCCTTCAGTATAAGAACACAAAGCTTTACCCCTTCCTGAACAGGAGATATTTCAAAGTATCCTGCCTCTGAATGCATCAAGCTTTCTGCCACACCAGCAGCTCCATCTGTGTGCCCTGGTCTTACTAGGTAGTCCTTACCTTTGTCTGTAGTGTGAATTTCAGAGTACAGTACGAAAAACCTTACTCTAACCTGAACTGCCCCTTGTAGCAAAAAGCACTCATGGGCTTCATTTTTGTAAATTATTTTAGTCTGTCATTCCTTGTAGTGTTTAGAAAACTCTTGGCTTCAATGGAAATTGAAAATCCAGGTCTCTCATGCATGCAGTTGTTCCATACTGTGACATTAGAGCAATATTTTCTAAAATCAGCTGGTGACTCAGGCTAACCTGCTTAACTGCACTTGGAGCTTCCCCCAGATGAAACTCGTAAAACCAAAACAGCAAGGTGTGCGTTTCTGCTTCTCTTGAGCATCTCTGAACAAGAATTGAATATGGTCAGGCATTCTGAAGAATGGGTCTGTTTTTATCCTTCCATGTCTCTAATTCTGAGGATTTCAAAGATTTTTCTTCAGATTTTAGAAGAAAAGAAGTACAAGAAACTAGAAATCAGCTTGTGCCTACTCCACTGAACCTAGCATCTGCAATTGCCCCTACACCTAGGGGTTATAAAATAAAAGCATAATAGATGGACTTACTCAATGCTGTGATGGCCTGAAGCCTTTTTATTCTTCACATTCTGGCATGCACTTCTCAATCCCGCTATGAAAATTAATTATCTCTTCTGCATATTGACAGGTATATTCAGAGACTTAGGCTTATGTAAAGCATTATGCTCCAAATTTGCTGAACTCCTTAGTCTTTATTAATATGATTCTGAGTCTTTGTCAAGATATATTTGTTTGACTTGGCATTTAAACTTATTTTTGGCTTTTATAATGTTTGATAGTAAAGCGCCCTTAGCAGTTTCATAAAAGCTTGCATGGAAGTGCAGGTTTGACTCTCTGAACTGAATGAATATTATTTCTCTTCTCGTTCTGTCTCTTTCTCTCCACATTCTGTCTCCTTATAATAAAGGAATCACTGCTGCAAAAATAATTGTGAAGTTAAACTTATAAAAAAGTCCTACCTCAAGAATCCTGATGATTTTGTGCTTTTCTTTTTTTTACCTACAAAATAGGAACAGCACATAAAGTGATAACTGCAGAGCTGTTTGCTGTGTCATTATGTCTGCTATTATGCTGTCCCATGCAGTCATATCATACAATTCTTTTCATGAACAGATCAAGTTCCATCTTAAAAGTTCATTTCCCCCTCAGCTGCTCCAAATGGAAATGCGAGAGCTCTTCAAGCTTTCAGTAACAATCTGCCCTGCAGTCCTGACCTGGAAACGTCTCCTTGTTTTTCACGACATTCAGAAAGCTGACTTTTTCTGAGATCGCCAGTGTGGATGCCAATGACAGTGGTAAGATTTGTGTCTTGACTGTCTCTTCTCAGGCAGTACATATTTTATGTAAAATATTGATCAGACACTAATTTTGCAAGACCTTTCAGCCATTATGCATCTTGGCAGGATTTACACTGGCAACACAGTACAATGAGTAATTCCAAAATCCATTATTTTATCCTGAGTCATCAGACTGCAGCAAACCACTCATTTTGTTATGAAAAACCAGCACTTATTTACTTTCAAAAGTGCTCAAGAAGCCACAAAAAAACGTTTTACAGATTAACCACTACTTCTATCTCCCAGCAGTTATTTTGGTAATAATTTCACATATCTGTAGTTAGAAATGAAAAATTTAGTGATGATGAGAATTCATTTCAGAAAGGTTTGCTGAAAAAAATTAAAATTCCAATGCCACACCTATGGTTTCCTCCTCGTGGGGAGTGACATCTGAAATGAGGATTGGGAAAGGCCTTTTGGAGAAAGACCCAGAGTATGCAAGGTCCAATAACATCTAATATTTAAAAAAAAAACTGCCTCGAGGCTCTGAGTCTAAAAGTTCACAAAGTAGTTTTCAAAATTAGATAGAAACTTTTGTGGCTTCTCATGCCTGAACGGTGTTCTCAAGAGCAATGGGACTTGAAACAAAAGAATTGTGGTAGTGTTTGGCTACCTAAGCATGAATGAAGGCTTATTTAAAAAAAAAAGAAAAAACCTACAACACATATGTGACATGTGTATATATAATACATCCTCAACACTCCAACTCCAAAGTATTTGTTACAGTCTCTATTGTATCTCTACATAAACTGTTAAACAAACTTTTCCTTTGGTGGACACATTTATCTATATCAACATAAAATATGTTTTTGAAAAAAGTTTTATGTGTTTTATTAACTCTTCTGCTCCCTGGAGGCTTTAAGGAATTCTGACAAATGGGTGGTCTTGGATGCTATGCTCTGCCTTTTCTAGGTCTCCAGCTTTA